TTTATTTTTATATGGAGCTGTGGATCCAACCCAGTGCCTCACATGTGCTAGGCAAGCGCTCTACCACAGAGCCACAACCCCAGCCCCCCCACAGAGAGTTTTAAGGTGAGGCTGAAGATTGAGTTTATCACCAATGGCCAGTGTTTTAATCAGTTATGGCTGTGTAATGGAACTTCCCAAAAGCCCCTCAACAACAAGAGTTCAGAGAGATTTCCAGGTCGGTGAAGGCATCCACATGTTATTCGGGTAGCACCATAATTCTATGGGGACCCTTTTAGACCTTGCCTTATGTGTCTCTGGCTGTTCATTTGCATCCTTTATAATAAACCAGTAAATGAAAGGAAAATGTTTCCCTGAGTTCTGTGAGTCATTGCAGAAAATTATCAAACCTGACGAGGGGTTTGTGGGAATCCCCAGCTATGGTCAACTTAGACATCAGTGTGGGGAATCTGAGACTCGCTGATTGTGACTGGCATCTGCAGCAGGAGGCTGTTTTGTAGGGCTGAGCCTTTAACCTGTGGCATCTGCACTAACTCTGAGTAGTTATTGTCAGAATCAAATTAAATTATAGGACACCCAGTTGGTGTCCACAGAAAATGGCTTGGCATGCAAAGCCCACATATTTGGTGTCAGAAGTGTTGAGTAAGGGCTGGGGTTGTGGCTCAGCGGTAGAGCGCTCGACTCGCACGTGCAAGACCCTGGGTTCGATCCTCAGCACCATATAAAAATAAATGAATAAAGGTATTGTGTCCAACTACAACTGAAAAATAAATTTAAAAAAAATAAGTGTTGAGTAAGAAACAATTTTCTTTAATTCCACAACTGACTGCCTACACACACACACACACACACACACACACACACACACACCACAACCCTCCATTTAGCTTGAAAGGCCAGTATACCAAGGTCTTGAATGCTGCCATGCCCCTGTGATGAACTCATTTTCTGGGTGCTGGGAGTACAGAATTGGAAAGGAATCTCCTGGTGCTGAAAGCAGAGACAGTCCACAGACAACTACGTGGCAGAAGGTGGCAAGCGGCACAGGAGTCCCATCCCCGCTGGGGGCAGTGTGAGCAGATGCCATGAAGAGAGGGGAGGAAGTGAACTCTAGGACTCGCACCAGTGATGTCCGGACAACCCTGCCAGGCAGGCTGACTAACCCATTCTACAGATGAGCAAACCGAGATGGAGAAGATGAGCTGACCCTTCTAAGGTCACACAGTGGGGAAGTCCTGTGAGCCTTTGTCTGACTCCAAAGCCTGCCATCTCCATTACATCAACAGACGTCAAGTGATGCTCTATGGAGCCCTGGTGGTGGGACTGCAGGGGAGTCAGAGGAAGGCCAGGTGGGTGGGGCTTGAGCCCCGCCCCAGTTTCCCTTCAAGAGCTCTGCTTTCAATATTTGTGTACAGAGAGATGACGACGCAGCAGGCACTTCCCTCACTGTTATGAAGCTGCGTGTGAAATCAGGCTCAGCACCTGCCCGGCTTTGAGGCCCCGGGGGCAAGACACTGAAATCTCCTAAGCCATAGCTTCCTCAGCTTCAATGGATACCAATTCATACCTCCTTCACAGGGCTGTTACAGGCTCAAAGATATGGAAAGCACTTGGCACAGTGCCCGGCCCTGGACACAGTGGAACTCTTATTAACTTGCTGAAGAGAGCAAGGGTCATCACACAAGGTGAAACAGCGGAAAAAGACAGACTGGTAGGGACTGAATGTCTGTGTCCTCCCAAATCCATACGCTGACACCCTAACCCCCAATGTGAGGGGGGTGGACTTGGGAGGCAATTACATAATGAATGGGGTTACTGCCTGTAAGACAGGGGCCCCAGGGAGCTCTCTGGTCCCCGTTCTGCTACACGAGGATACTGTAAGCAGGTGGCTATCTGCAACTCAGACAATGGCTCTCATCAGAATCCTGACGTGCTGGCACCCCGACCTCAGGCGTCCAGCCTCCACAACTGCAAGCAACGGATTTCTGTTGTTTATAAGCATCCACCTCTGGCATTCTGTTAGAGCAGCCTCAACTCATCATGAAATTATAGGAGAAATTCTTAGATGGACTAAAAAATACTCCCCCGGAAGAGTTGCCATGGTTCTGAGCTCTGCCGTGCATTCTCTCCCAGTCCTGATAAATATGGGTCTTGGATTATCGGTACACACACCTGGAAGAGGAGAGAGGCTTCAGTGCCTCAATTTGCTGAGCTCTGGTTATGTCCCCACTGCTGCTTGTCAGTTGGCTCAGCAAGAAACTCAATGGAGACCGGGCTTCGAGTGATGAAGTCAGTAACCCCAAAGCCCCAAACTAATTTTCTGCCACTGCTCAGAGCAGGGCGCCACAATGCCATTTGCTTTCCCATAAGCTGAGTCTTGGTTCTTGCACCAAAAGCCCCAAGGTAGAGGGAGGCATGTGTATCAGCCACACCAAAGTCCTAGAGCTCCTCTGCTAGCCAGATGGGGGTTTTGCCCTTAGGCAGATTCTGCAGGGCAGGGGGATCCCAGGTCCCTTTTAGGGTACTTCTATCAAAGACAGCTGGCAAACTTAGTTCCCAGTGAAGGTTTTGAAGGCTTACAGTACAGCGCAAGCTCCCCAGGGCCAGGATTTTCACTTATTGTGTTCACTGCTGTACCCCAGTGCCTAGAGTGGCGGCACAGTCCTGTGAGTGGATGTGTGCACGGTGACCACATTCGGGATGAACTCCCAGCTGCATCGTTATGAGGTGCAAAGAGGCAATGGAGCATGGAGCTCACAGGTCATTCACGGAGCACTGGTGGCAACTTCTGATCACTGCTCTGCTTTTGATACCCCATCTGTCACTTCCGCTGGAGGCACCACCACGGGGCCTCTGACGGTTCCCCTTCGGAAACGTTTGACCCTGTCTCTCTTCCAGGAGGAAGACAGGGCCATTTGCCACAGAACACTGAGCAAGAAGGTCAACTCATGCCCAGAACATGCCTGCTCTTTTCACACTCACACTGCCAGGAATGAAAATGTTGGAGATGGGTACGTCCACAGGAGTTACCTCCTCATGGAAGAGACAAGGAAACCAAAGTCCAGAGACGTTAACCAAGTAACCCAAGGACAGAGTTGGACTCTGCCTCTCACCGGAGCTCTTTATGCAGCACTTTCTAGGGCCCTGTCTCTGCTTTGTCCTGTCAGTCTTGCCCCTTGAGCTGGGTTCTCTTTCTGCATGTTACAAGCACAAAATACACCTACAATATATACACAGAGGCCTTGTATATACATAGATATATATGGATCATATACACGTGTTCATAGATGATATTAGTATATACATACACTGTTCTACAGTCCCAAACACATTCAATTCTTTTATTCTTGCCTATTTATTACAACATGGTGATAAATAAAGGGACAGGGGGAAAATCAGAAATCCCCAGTGTGAGAAAGGGGAAATGTGTCATTTGCAAAAGCTCATTCAATATTATAACTGCTTTTTTTTAAAGTACAATATTGGATGTGCTTCAAAACTTTAACAATAAAGCAGAATTTACATTCATCAAAAGGGGCTCAGGAATTCATAAAACATTTGGGAAATACTGCTCTGGACTTACTGTCTATGATGGCTTTGGCTATCATCTGGGCCAGATCCCTGTTCAAGACAGGAAACTTCCACCCAGTGAGATTCAAAGGTTTCTTGTCTAAGACAAGCTGGCCGTTCATTCATGCCTGAGGGAGTGCCATGTGCGCTCTGTCGTTGTCCACGGCACCTGCGCTGAGTGGAGTGGGAGTGGGGGTGTGTTGCTGATTGACTGAAGGAACTTATCACACCGAGGACATTAAGATACAGAGGGAAAGCGAGTTCCCAGACACAGCTGGATTTTTTTCTTTTTTTAAAGAAAAGAGGGGATTCTTGGAAACAGATAAATGGAACTTGAGGTTTTATATGCCATTTCCTGGGGTCAGCATCCAATGGCCCATGCACTGGGCTACCTTTGGCTCCAGCCCCCTTATGTGAGTCTGGGAAACCGCTCTCCAGTCCCCTGTTTCAAGAGGAGAAAATGTCAGGCTGCAGGAGTGTGTCCTCAAGCCATTGCTCTCCCCTCCCCTTGGTTACCTGCAGAGGTCAGCAGGTTGGGCGGATGGCTTCAGTCTAGCCTCATCTACCATGACGAGTTGCAGGTTTTCTCTCATTTTTTCCCCCACAGGACCGAGCATTTCAGCAGGAGGACTACAGATCCTAAAACAGTTACCCTGTGAGCAGAGGCAGCAGCCCCAGGAAGAGTCTACCCACAGCCTTGGGCAAAGACAGACACTGGGGGGCCCTGTGGAAGGCGACTGTGCCCGGAGTGGCGGCTGCCTGTGCCCCTGCCGGGTGCAGGAGTCCACTTACCGCAGTGCGACTGGAAAACCTGTGGCTTGACGACCTGATTACAGGCACTGCACACTACGAGATAGAAGTCGTCATGTGCTGGATAATGGCCAAATAAGTGCATATCTGTGGGGAAATGAAAACAATGTTTTTTGAAAAAGCAATTAAGTCTCAGAAGGCATACAGTTTCCTCTTGGAATTTCTTCAAGGACAGTTTTTCAAACAACACAGGCAGAAAGGCAATTATCTTTACTAAAGGAAATGCAGTCTGTCACAGTGCAGCTCCCCACCTCTCAGAGAAGCATCTGCCTCAAAGAACGCTTCTTTGCACCCCTGGAAACAGGCTGAGATGACAGCTGGTCTGGTCAGCAGTGTCAGGGGCTGCCCGGTTACATGCTGGGGGATGATCCCGGTGGAAGACAGAACCCAGGTGGTAGTGGGACCCAATGAGGCTCTTTATTTCAGGACTGTGGGGACTCCCCCAAGCCTTTTCCTATTTCAGCAGTGGTCCCTTAGGTGAGCGAGAGGGGAGAACTCAGCTGCGGCTAGCAAGAGGAGTCAACGTGTCTTCAGCAATCACCTGATTCTCCCCATCACCTGTGGGAGACACCAAGGCTAAAGGAATCCTGCGAACAAGTGACTCATTTGTTGCCATCATTATCCATTATTCATTCAGTAAATATTTAATGAGTGCCTCTGGGTGCCAGGCATCGTGCTAGGTGCCAGGGAGAACTGCTCTCCTGGAGCCTCTGATAGCAGAAGGAGAAACATCATAGACCAAGGTAAGGAATTTGAACCTGATTTTAGGAACAATGGGAAATCACTGACGGATTTTAAGGCATGATATGTGGGACATACCAATGAGACATGAATGCGTACGTCCACATGAATGTTCATTGGCTATTATTCAGGATATCCAATAAGTGGAAACAATCCAACTGATTGTTGGCTACCAACTGATAATGGATGAACAAAATGCATCATATATATAAGAGAATACTACTACACATCCATAAAAAGCAATGAAGTACTGACAAGTGCTACAACGTGGATGAACCCTGAAAATGTTACGCTAAGAGAAAGGAGCCACACTCAAAGCCATGTACTGTATGCCTCCATTTATATGAAATGTTCAGAATAGGCAAATCTGCACAGATAAAAAGCAGTTATGCTGCATTGGACAGGGAGGCCTGGAGGGACTTGGGGTGAGGGATCTATTTGGTGGGGTGATGAAATGTTCTAAGATTGACAGTAGTGTTTGCACAACTCCATGAATACACTAAAAAACTGAAGTGTATATTTCAAATGTGCAAACTGTGTGATACACAAATTATATCTCAAAAAAGCTGTCACACACACAAAAAGGTCAGTTTTGCCTGAGGAATCATAGTCACGTCTCCTTGGGCACTGCTGTGTGGCCACAGGGCCCTGGAGCATATCTCTGTCTGCTTTCAAGCGAGCCACTTAGGCTCTAAGAACAGGGTAGCCACAACCTCAGGGAGTTAATGGAAGAATTCATGACATTGTATGCACAAAGGTGTCTCGGTCACAAACCCCCTGAACTTGCTCAGGTTGAGAGCGAAAGTCTCCACTCGTGTCTTTAATGAAAACCCAAACACAGGTTCCCAGACTGTGATCTTAGGCCAGAAGAAAGAGTCGAGGTCTCAAGAAGTGGGAAGGCTCATTGACAACCCCACAAATGCTTTAATGGAGGATCCACGGCTCTGCATTCCTTTATCAGGGCAGCCCTGATGCTTTGGGGGAAATGGAATGGGTACACTTATCACACAGCGAGGAGCAGAGACCAGTTCTCTGGGAGGAGGCCAGCAAATGGGAGGGTGGGCCTGGCGGGCCTGGCTGGGGACTTCCCCTACAAGTGACCTCCTCTATCTCCTCTGGTGTGGGGAGCAGATGGAGGGGGAGGAGGAGGGATAACAGGCTCCAACAAATTTCTAAGTTAGGGGTTCCTCCGGGTGCGTGTGGTCTGCTATTCACTCCTCTTGGGGGCTCATCTGTCTCTATTCGTGCCTGTGTTTACATCATCTGCCTGGGCGTTATGCAGGGGAACATTATTATCACCTGGGAGGCGGGAGACCCCTGGGAAGAGAAGCTGAGAGAGCCTGGAGCTGCGACAATGGTGAGGATGTGAGCACTGGTCCCACCAGATGCAGGACAGAGCTATGGGAGCCCCAGGGAGACAGGACCCTCGGTTTAGAGCCTCACAGCAGGAACACGTCCCCCCTGGAGCTTTAATTGCTGATAACACTCTTGCTTCACTTTTCTTTGCAGGTTATTTTTATAAAATATATTCATTTTTTAAATAACAGAAACAATCCATGCTCTTTTGAGGACACATTTGAAAAATACAGAAAAGCCAGAAGACTTTTTATAAAATGACTGGCAACCTGTATTAACGCTTTGCATCTCATTTAGATTTAAAGTCACATTTTCTACTCAGGAACATGCAAAACCAGGAACTGGCTAGGGCTAAAACTTACTTATTTGTTCAATAGGAATTTATTGAGCTGTCTTGTATCCCTTCTGCAAGAGGTAAGCTATGAAGGAATAAAATTCATTAATTAAAAATTTAAAGAATCCACCCGAACCAAGCATTATCACAAGTTTCTTTTTTTTTTCAATCTTTTTTTTTAGTTGCAGATGGACACAATACCTTTATTTTATTTATTTATTTTTATGTGGTACTGAGGATCAAACCCAGTGCCTCATGTGTGCTAGGCAAGCACTCTACCACTGAGCTACAACCCCAGCCCGAATTATCACAAATTTTTTAAGCATCTTTTTTTTTTTTCAGTGTTGGGGATCAAACCCAGGGCCTCGTGCATGCTCGGCAAGTGCTCTATCACTGAGCTCTACCCTTAGCTTGAGCTCCTACTCTTGGGCCAGAGTCTGAACCAGCTGCCAGGAGGCTGAATCCGTGAGGTATGGATTGTGTCTCTGCACTTTTGTTGTTCATGCCTGACGATCCACTGGGGGCCTGTCAGGAGCCGTCTAATGTCCCATTCTTCTGTATTCGCCCAGTAATCTGCAGAGCCTACCCACCCCCCCCCCCACCATCTCCTCACATGCACACACAGTTGCTGTGTCACTGAGTTCTAGGTCAAGGTTAGGCTAGTCAGAGATGTATCCACCTGGGCGTGTGTTCCCCTCAAGCCCTTTATTTGCTGGGACTTTTCGTGGTTTACCTCTAAGGCAGTTTCAACCTTGCACTTGTCTGCTTGATTCTTGCCGGGGGAACTGATCTTAGAATCTCCTCTACAGGCCGCCCAAGGTCTGGGAGCCCGGCAGATGGGGAGCAAGTTAAGGGCTCTTGGCTCCCAGAAGCCCTCCACTTCACATGGCTGGCCGTTCAAGGTCAGCATGCTGTTTGATTCGATTAATAAGGGCTGGAGATGAAGGGGAGATGAACATGAATAGACCAGACACAATGCTGGCACTCAATATTTTCTCTCTCTTCCTTAATTTGTCCCCTAAGTAAAATGTTGAGTGCACAGCTGCATGCTGACGGGGGCTTCCACCAGCCTGGAGGGCCACTTGCGTATTCCCCTTCCCAACTCCACATTCAGGGTTGTCATGGTGGTGGCTTGAAGTCAGCGATGGTGGGAGTATTTGCATCATGGAAATGGGCAAACACTACAACCAGGTCTTTTCTTTGGAGAGCTGGTGGTTAAATATTTACCAGTGCAGCATGAAATGCAGATGGGCAAAAGTGAAGAAGAAAAGTGAAATCCCCCGAAATGCCACAAACCAGACGATAACCACTGTGGACGAGTTACCACGGGCTGGAGTTTGTGATGTGATACCCCCTTGGTTACTCTTCCTAATTAACCTATGAAGTCAACACCTCTGCTTTTCAGGCAAGAGTGTGAAGGTAAAGTCATTTGCCAGAGGTCCTGTGGCAGTGACTTGTGCGACAGGATGAGATTACAGGGCACTGAATCTAAAGTCAGGGTTCCTTCCTCTGCAAAATGCTGTTTCTTTAATCACAGAGCAAGATCCCACTTCACAGTGAAGCAGCCAGTGTGAAAGATGCTGGGATATGAATGTTTGTTCCCTCTGAAACTCATGTTGAAATTTGATTGCCACTGTGGCTGTGTTGGGAGGTGGGCCTTTAACAGGTGATTAAAACATTAAGAAGTCATGGCTTTCTTGTAGGAGTGGATTCCTTCTAGCAAAAGAAGGTTGTTTTAAAGTGAGTTTGCCCTCACGCTTTCCCTCTTCCATGCATTACCACTTGCCTTTCCACTTTTACGCTGTGTTATAATGTCACACGAGGCCCATGCCAAATATAGCTGCCTCATCTTGGACTGCCAACCTCCAGAACTGTGAGCTGAAATAAACTTCCCTTTATAAATGACTTCGTCTCAAGTATTCTGTCATAGCAACAGAAGATGGACTCAGGGATCTTCTAAAAGGGATGACTAATGGGCTATCCTAAGGCTCCTAAGACTAATGAGTGGGTAGCATATACAGAGTAGATACTCTGGATAAGGGACTAATTCATGTCCTGGGCAGGACAGCACAAGATTTCATCACAATGTACAGAATGGCATGCAACTTAACATGTATGAATTGTTTATTTCTGGAATTGTCCATTTAATATTTTTGTACTATAATTGACTCAGATAACTGAAACCATGGAAAGCAAAACCTTAGAAAAGGAAGAGTACTATATTTATAACACCAAAGTCAGCATCCACTACAAGTAGGACTTCTACTCTTGGAGAACTGGTTGTAAGGCTTTTACCAGGACACCACCGTCCGGCACTCACTCTGGTATCACTCTTCCCTGGCTATTTCCCCAGACTATAAAATGGGTGTATTACATTATATACATCATCCACCACATGGGGATGTAGACAGGCTTTTGTGAACTCACTTGCGAGTAAATCATTATATTCATATAAAATTATGGTTATGGTACCAAGAACTTATGCACAGCAGAGCCAGGTAAACATGGTGATGACTTCCTGTGTCAAATGAGCACACAGAGCTACAAGTTGTTCATAGGGGAAGTGTGGGGTGGTAAAGTAACTGGAGTTCTTTCCAATGTCTGCTGACTTAATGCTTACTTGTTATGGGGTTTTTATGGAGAACAGTCACAGATC